CCATTTTTGAATGGGCTTACGTTTTGTATGGCGTACTCAATGCTCTATAACATTACCTCTGCACCTCACAAAGCAATGAAACATATATTGGTGAATGTTCACGCTTCTTTCCAACTCGAACAGCAAGGGCACCCTAAATTACATCAATATAAATGTAAACCAGACGCAGGCGTGTCCCAAATGGGTTATTGACGACTCAGACCTACAGCAGTAATCATTCCTTAGTTTAAACCTCCAAGTGTAATATCGTGTACTCCAGCGACCACGATAGCGGTATGGGCTATTGCACTTGTAACGCGCTATGACGTTGTCCAGAAGCGCTGTAAACCGAAACGGTAGAAATCGTAAAATACACGATTGATGCAGCATTATGTCGCAATCCAGCCACATAAAAATTTCAAATTTGTCCCTAAATTTGAGTTGAAAACGCCGAGTACACAATTGGAGTGGGCAGTTGACTTTCACCAGATCTCCGTCCTGATCTCATGAGGTTATAAAGGAACGATTTCACCTAGTATTATTAAAACAGAAGCGCAAAAATACTCAAAATCCAGGATAATAATAATGCAAGTATATGACAAGCATCCTCAGGTGTAACATGAAGCCAAAAAATTAGCATGCCCCGCAGTTGATGACAGCAACAATTTTCATATTCTAGTTTGTATGTGTCATTTTTAGTTGCTTCCTGTTTTCACCGTTATCCTAACTCCGAATAGCTTAGTTGCTCAAGCCGTGAGCCACCAAACCAGCCGTCTGCATACAAGTCCAATCAGCGATATCTGCGGCGCGTGGAATTATTAAGTTTCGGCGTCGCATTCGAACAATTTGTTCAGTTGGTAATGTTTTGGAATATTGGTAGCTCGGGTGTATTGGTTGGTAATTGATCAGGTGGCTGTTGATCTGTTCGCCGAGCTTGGCAATTGATTTGCAAACGTTTCGTCACCATTCGAGGAGACATCTTCAGTGCGCTGTTGGCTGGGTAGTTCCACTCTCCGTGCCTGCGTTTATATAGTCTACAAAGAGCAGCCTTTGCGCTGTAACCTGGATTCTGATTG